AAAAGCCCTCTTCCATCCTCCTGTGGCAGGTTCCTACTACAGCTCAGGGCTCATCTTCAAAGTCCCCTTTTGTGAGCTTGTGGAGGTTTGTGGTCTAGAACCCTCAACCACGTCAATGCTCCTTGAGGGCTGAGTCTTTTTTTTGTTCCTCACTCTGCCCTCAGCACTGAAGCCTCACTCAGTGTTTCAAATAAATGAACCTTGGCTAACAACTCTCATACTAAATGATTCCAAACTCCCTCTTTGACCTACATCTCAAGCAGTCATCACTAGGAGGTCTTATTAGGTACTTAGGCTGCTATAACAAACAAAAACCAATTGTCTCACAGAGCTAGAGGGTAGAAGTATAAAATCGCGATGTTAACAGGACCAAGCTCCCTCTGAGACCTCTAGGGGAGGACCCTGTCTTGCCTTTCCCAGCTTGTCAGCAGCTTGGCCTGTGGCTGCATAACCCACTTCCTGCCTTTTTCCGTGGGGCCTTCTCTGTATCTTGTCCTCACAGGGCATTCCCCACCCCAGTTGCCTCTTCTCTTCCTACAAGGACACTGGTTACATTAAATAACGACCTCCCCTAATGACATCATCTGAATTACATCTCGAAAGACCCTATTTCCAAGTAAGGTCACATTCACAGGTAAAGGAAGGAGGGGTAAGACTTCAACATATCTTTCTAGAAAACATAATTCAGCCCTTAACGGAGGTGATCCACAGAACACACACAGACACACACAATTTCAGCAAGCTAAGCTGGAGAGTAGGAAGGTGTGAGGAGCTGCCTTCAAGTGGAAGAAGCCAGCAGTGGTTTACGTTTCTGGGTGAACATTCCCTGCATCAAAAGACTCTTGGGGACAACACTCTAACCTTAAAGGTTTCTGCAGAAGTGGTTTCTATCCCTGCTCAGCTTTTTCCAAGTGGTACACATCCCATTTCCAGACCTTCCACAAAGCATTTTGTCTCACTGGATTTGGGCTCCTGAAAAATATGAGAGTAACATAATTGGGCCCTTCCTATGGGCCAGCGACTGTGCTAGGTCTTGACTTGACTTCTCTTGCTCACCGCTTCTACCTGCCTGAACTGGGATTTATAACCTGCTCTCACCCCAAAGAAAGTTCCAGGAAACCCAGAGGAACCCTTTCATCAATTCTATGTGAATTAAGTGATCAGAACTGTGATGCATGAGTGGAAGTTACAGGAAGAGGCAACAATTTGGACTAAAATTTAGGAAAACATTCTCTAATAACAAGACTTTGGATTTTCCAATATTTATAATTAACAGTTTTTTGTGATTTGGCTCCTTTTGCCACTAGAGATTTTCAGACAGTGGCCAGATTAGCTTCCCAATACCCATCCCAACCCTGCCCCACTCTTGTGGGAGATTTTGAACTCCCTGGCGTATTCTCTCCGATATGAACGCTGCACATAAATGCGTTTTTCTGAGACAAGGTCCAGGGGCTTCTCTGAGCCCTAGGAGATAGAAAACCAGGCGCCCAGCCACTCCCCTATCAAGAGAAGACGCACAGCAGACCCGTGTCTGGGCTGACGTCCCTTGGCCCAGCTCCTGGCATTTCAGTGGTGGTGGCCAACGCCGTCTTCCTGAACTCCTCTGCTGTGCAGAAGTGCGGCCCACCGGCCACTGCCCGTGCATGCTGACCTCCAGCAGCCAACCAGAAGGTGCTGGAAACCATCCTCGCCCCTCCACATGGAGGGTCTAGAAATGAGATGTGTACAATCTGGTTCCAGAGCTTTGAAATAAACTTTTGGCTGTTAATCCTGAAGAATATGCATTTCCCGGTGACAGTGCTGGGGAACAGATTTATATTGTAAGCAGCAGCGTCTGAATCGCTAAGGATGGCGCCCTGGCAATATGGCCTCCTCCTTTCCTCCGGGAGGACGTATTCTACATATATCTTCCTTCCAGAAGATCGAAGGTGGTCCTGTACGCGGTGGGGTGCTAGTTTCCCCGGAACAGTACTGGAGTTGGGGGGAGAGGGGCCTGGAAACAATAAGAACAAAAACCACGACGGCATTAAACGAGCTCACAGCATCTCCAGGCTCTCCCACAGTCTTTGTCTCATCTGACCCTCACACATCTTTGATGTGGCCCCAGGCGTGCTGTTCCCACCTGTAGAAGTGACAGCTCTGAGTCGGGGAGGTCAGGGGACTTCCTCGCCCAAAGTTCGGCGGCCAGGCTGTAAAGGAGTCATTTGGCAGAGTGGGGATTCGAACCCTAGGCTCCAGGCCATCTCCTGCATCGAGGCGCTCTCGCTTCGCTCACCCGCGGCGGGACTGCTTTCTTGGCCAGGCCAGGCTAGAGGTCAGCTGCGCGGCCGCTCCTCCTCCGCAAGGGGTGTCCAAGCGCAGCTGGCCGAGGGCAGACATCGCAGACTGCGGTGAGGTCGCGCGGGTGGAGCCCTGCGCGCTTGGGCCGAGAGGCCTGGCTTGGTGTCCCCCCACCCTCCGCCCTGCAGAAGCCTGGCGGGGGCCGGCACCGCCTTAGAGACCTCAGGCGCCGGCCCCGCTCCAGCTGCGCGGCCGCGCTCAGTGCGCACGCGCGGCGCCGGCCGGGCTCCGCCCCCCGGGTAGGGACCTACAGCGGGCGCGGTGGCGGTGGCGGCGGCGGCGGCGGT